GACATGTGTGCAACTTTGAATGTATGCACAAAATTATTATTATCCAATGAGACTCTATTTTTTTTGAAATGTATACTATATCTTAGTGAATTCCACACACAAGAGAGCCAATTAATAACAATTTGGGGCCAAAAATTGATTTACTGGGAAAGTGTTGTGGGAGAGTGCACCGCACCCTCAGTGCCTTCAGCTGACCACACAAAATGGTGAGGAGGAAATTTTATTCAATTTTCAACCAATTTCTATTAAATAACTATGCATTTTTTTGGTAAAATAAATATAACTTTATTAGTGAACTCCACACACACAATTTTGGTTTGATAATAATAATTTTTTGTACATTAAAAGTTGCACACATTACTTGTGCAATCTGAAGGTTGCTTACCATTTAAGGAAATTACTAGGGGAGCCTGTCTCACTTTGCTCATCATTTTCAGTGCAAGGAAATTTTTCCATGTCTCCTCTCTCCCACATCCCATCTCTCATCTCCTGTGTCCCATGTTCTGTGTCCTGTGTCCCATGTCCTGTGTCCCATCTCCCATCCCCCATATCCCCTCTCCTGTGTCCTGTTTCCCATGTCCCATCTCCTGTGTCCCATCTCCCATGTCCCATCTCCTGTCTCTCATCTCCCATCCCCCATATCCTATCTCTGTGTCCTGTTTCCCATCTCCTGTCTCCCATCTCCTGTCTCCCATCTCCTGTCTCCCATCTCCTGTCTCCCATCTCCTGTCTCCCATCTCCTGTCTCCCATCCCCCATATCCTATCTCCTGTGTCCTGTTTCCCATGTCCCATCTCCTGTTTCTGTGAGTGATAGTAAAGGTAGAATACCTATTTGGTTAGGGTTGTAAGTCTTTTGTTCAGTCTATGTAGCTCTGTAGTCAATATACCTCATGTGCTATATCTTGCATGCATGTATTTAATATATTATATGTTGAATATTTGGGGATATGGGTTAGAGGTAGGGTTCAAAACAGGCCAGGGTTAAGTAACCCTCAGCCTCCTAGGGACCTGCACTGCCGCAGTGGAAGCAGATTTAGTTCCACTTCCAATTTTGGACTTAGGGTCTGGATCTACTTGTCCTTACTTGCATGTGGTGCCATGTGAACCATGTGCTTTTTGTGCATGGCTTTGCCCCTGGCTTCTTCATATTTCCTTCACTAAATAGAATGAGGCAAATTGTCTCCAAGGTGTGCAAGGGCACAGGCACAGAGCACACTTGTTGTTGCCCCTCATCCCTTGTCAAGGGAAGCCGAGAAACTTCATCAGATTCACTGTGCGACTATCAGTTCATTCTTGACTGATCCAGCTCACCAATAGGAAGGAGTACTGATGAGGATACTATCTGCATGTTTGAGCGATCCAACCCTACTACCCCTCTTATTTGCCCTATTGTCCCAGCCCCTTCATTGTCATACCTTTGACAATGCAGACATATACTACATGATGGATGTTGTGGTCATTCAATCAGATAAATGTGGGCAGATGTC